CATAAGGGAAGGGAAGCAAAAGTAATATAAAAAGAGGGAGACTCATAAATATGGAGAACAAACTGAGGGTTACTATGGGGTTGTGGGGGGAGGGATGGGCCTAATGGGTAAGGGACATTAAAGATTCTACTCCTGAAATCATGTTGCACTGTACGCTAACTAATTTGGATGTAAATTAAAAAAAAAAATTAAAAAAAACAAAACCAAAAAATAGACTAATGGCAAAAAAAAAAGAAAAAGAATAAGAACTGAAATTTTCTACCATCCTCCTCAATAGTTAATGTCACCTTTTTGTTGTTTTAATTTTAGTCATTCTAATGGTATGTAGTGCTATTTTATTATGATTTAATCTATATTTTCCTAATGTCTAATAATGTTGAATACTTCTTCATGAATTTATAACTTCCTTATACATTTCTGTTCACACTTTGATCTTTTTAATTGGTCTGTCTTTTCATTATTGAGATGCACATATTTGTGTGATAACACATTTTGCAAAATATTTTCTCCTATTCTGTGTCTGTGTCTCTTTCTTTTCTTTTTTATATTTATTTTTGAGAGAGAGAAAGAAAGAGAGAAAGAGAGAGAAGCAGAGGGGCAGAGAGGAAGAGAAAGAGTCCCAAGCAGCTCTCAGCACAGAGCCCTATGTGGGGCTTCATCTCACAAACCTGTGCCAGAACCAAGAGTCGGAGGCCACTCAGCCACTTAGGCACCCCTGTGGCTGTTTCTTAATGGTGACTTTGTTGAAAACTTTCTAAGTTTGATGATGCCTAATGTATTATTTTTTCTTTTATGATTAATGGCTTTTTGCCTCTTCGGTATAACTAAGTTATATCTCATATTTTTACCTAGAAGATTGACAGTATTATCTCTTAGATTTAGGACTGCAATTTATCTCAAATTAATTTTAGAATATGGTACATGATGTTAAATACCACTGTATTTTTCCTTTGGTTATTGATTGTTCCAGAATCATTTTCCCCCTTTGGATTGTTTTGGCAC